AAGGGCCAGGATGGTGGTGGAGACTATGGGAGGCTCATTGCAGCCCCTTTACCAAGGAGGATAGCAGTATTTCCACCTGTGGCCACCAATCTGGCCATAGGAAGCATGGCAGGAGACCCTCCAGAGGTCTCGACCTCAGACACTGCATCCCACACCACACACCAAGTGTGCAGCCCACCCTGAGGGAAAGCTCTGCACTGGTACAGCTCTAAGAACACAGGAAACTTTTAGCCCAGAAAGACAGAGCAGATGGACCTTCCAGAGGGCCTGGAGGCCCCCTAGCTCAGGCAGGCAAAAGGGCTGTTAGGCCAATGGGGAGGGCTGGGCATGGGGGTCAGAGAGGAAGACTCCTGGAGAAGGCAAGGGTCATGAATGGCCTTCCCATGGGGGCCCCCAGGCTTCCTGAGCTCCAACAGAGAGGCACAGAAAGCTGACTTGAAGAGCCCAGAGAACTGATTCAGTCATCTGTTTATCCATCCATCCATCCCTCCCTCCCTTTGTCCATTCACCCACTCATGCACTATTTATTTACCAAGCTCCTGCTATGTGACAGGAATGCGCTGCCTGCCGGGAAGACCCTGGTGAACCAGATGGCCAAGGTCCCTGCGTTCGTTCGCAGAGCCCAGAGCCTAGTGGGGAAGAAACACGATCAACAGATAAGCCAGCCAATGAGCTCAGTGACTTCGGATCTCAAATAGGGCGGCCAGATAGCAAGTGAGTGGGAGGGGAGGTGGGGGCTGCTTTAGCCACGTGCTGAGGAAGAGTCATTTGAAGAAGATGGAAATGGCCAGTGTAAAGACCCTACAGAGGAAGCATGCTTTGTATTGGAAAACCAGAAAAATGAAGTTGGGAAATGAAGATGGGGGAAGAGGTCAGCGAGCTGGTCACGGCTGACTCAGGTGAGGCATTCAGGATGCATGGTGGTCACTGGGAGGGCAGGATGGAGGTTCTCTCCACAAAGTCAGATTGGCAGGTCAAACTGGCCCCATAGTATTCACCAGGCACAAGAAATGTCACAATGGGCCAGGCACAGTGGCCCTTGCCTATAATCCCAGCACTTTAAGAGGCTGAGGTGGAAGGTGTACTTGAGGCCAGATGTTCAAGACCAGCCTAGGCAATATATTGAAACCCCCATCTCCACAGTTTTTTTTTTTTTTTCTTCAAAAATTAGGCATGGTGGCACGTGCCTGTAGTGCCAGCTACTCGGGAGGCCAAGGTGGAAGGATCACTTGAGCCCAGAAAGTCAAGGCTGCAGTTAGTTGGGATGGCACCACTGCACTCTAGCCTGGGTGACAGAATCAGATCTTGTCTCAAAAAAAAAAAGTCACATTGTTTTATTTTGTGGGGCTAACACATAAAGCATTTACTCTGTTCCATACACCCTAAGTGCTCAGCATGTATTAACTTATTTGATCTTCTCAAAATCCTCTGAGATAGGTACTAGCACTAAGCCCATTTTACAGATGGGGAAAATGGGGAACTCAGTTGGGTGATTCTGTCACCCAGGCTAGAGTGCAGTGGTGCCATCCCAACTAACTGTGCCTGGCCCATTGTGACATTTCTTGTACCTGGGTTTCACCATGTTGGCCAGGCTGGTCTCAAATTCCTGACCTCAGGTGATCCACCCACCTAGGCCTCCCAAAGTGCTGGGATTATAGATGTGAGCCACTGCTCCCAGCCAGCCAATTTTAATTCAAGTGTGGACTGTGTGGACTCTGGGACCACCTGAGTTCAAATCCTGCTTCTGCCCATTTGATGGCTCTGTGACCTCAGGGGAGTTACTTAAGTAACTCAGACCAGCCTGGCCAACATGGTGAAACCTGGTTTCTACTAAAAATAAAAATAAAAAATTAGCTGGGTGTGGTGGCAGGCACCTGTAATCCCAGCTACTCAGGAGGCTGAGGCAGGAAAATTGTTTGAACCTGGGAGGCAAAGGTCGCAGTGAGCCAAGATTACGCCATTGCACTGCAGCCTGGGCGACAAGAGTGAAACTCCGTCTCAAAAAAAAAAAAATTGGCGCTCTACTCTTTGCCTATCAGGGTGTAAGCTGTCGTGTGGGCCATTCCCGAGGTTCTCCTTCTAGAGTGGCCAAAGGCTTAGGGGGCACTGGCAGAAGCAGTCCAGAGAACTTTCGAGTGAGTTCCTGGTCTTTGGTTTATTCTAGTTGTCACTGAAATGCTCACTGTCCACGTGATTCACTCACAACCAAGAAATTGGGCCGCCTGACTCCCTCCGTGCCAAGGGTGATCTTGGGGTCTTTGGCTCCAGTTCCAGAGAGACCGAACATCCCCCAACCCGTCCTGTTAGACATCTCCATCTGCCTCATCCACTTCACCTCCAGATTCCCCCATTCCCCTGGGGCTGGCCTCGCTTCTCCCCTCAGAGTCAAGATGTCCAAACCAGGGCCTTGGCAGGCATTCGTTCCTGGCACCCCATGGCTTCTGCTCTCCACCCTCAGCCAAGAAAACCAGAGCCTGAACCACACAATCTTGGCCGTACTACTTGGCCTGCCTTCCTGGGAAAATCCTACCCTTTCTTTTAAGTCTCCTTCAGTAATGAAAACAGGACTAACAATGGCATCTCAAAGTCCATCCTGCCTCGTGAATTGGCCAGCCCTCGTGGCCTTTTTCTAAGGAGACAATGTGAAGAAATTGCTGGGCATGATGCTAGGTACACTGTAGTTTTCAAGAAGGGATTTTGTTTTGTTTTGTTTTTGAGACAGGGTCTCACTCTGTTGCCCAGGCTGGAGTGAGGTGGCGTGATCACGGCTCACTACAGCCTCAACCTCCTGGGCTCAAGCAATCCTTTCACCCCAGCCTCCCAAAGTGTTAGGATTACAGGTGTGAGCCACCACACCTGGCCTCAAGGAGGAGTTTTGAGCCAGATGAATCAAATTCTACTTACCAACTGTATGACTCTGGGTAATTCCCGTGGTCTCTCTGAGTCTCACTTTCCTATAAAATGGGGTGATGATGACCTGTGTTGTGGTGCTGTGATGAACATTAATGAGATCATGGATGGAAAGGAAGCATTCACTAGCACTCAGCTCTTGCCACAATTTCTCCAGGCAGGCCTGGTGATGTGTGCCGAAGTCCCAGGAATGATAGGAATTCCCCCTTTTTTGGCTGGACAAACACGGGGTCCTCATTTGGCCATCTGACTTCATCGATCCTAAGTAGGGCAAGCCACAGGAAGAGCCACATCAGGACTTCCCCAGCTGCATGCAGTCTTTTCAAGCTGCACTCAGGGGACTTTATCCACCCAAGCTGGACAAATGCCCAGAGTAGGGAATGAGTGAGGCCTGTCCCACACGGCTCTTTGTTGGTGTCTAGGCTGCTGATAAGGAGGAAACAGGACATAAACAGAAATGATGGCCTTCTCCCTTCCCAATTTTGGTCTCAGCTACCTGAGGCTGCTAGGCTTCCTCCAGGCCTGGAGGCTGCCATATGAAAAGTGTCGAGGGGGGACAGCTGATCATCCCCCCAAATCCAGGAGACAGGGCTGTGTGGGAACCTAGTGCTGAGCCCCAGCAAGGGAGCTTGTTCTCCCAGGCAGGCCAGGAGGGCAGCAGGCAGAGCAGGGCTGGACACGGCTCCAGCTCTGGCTTTACCTCTGTTTTCTCCTCTCTAAAATGATGTACACTCAGAAAGGCTACCCGGATCAAGCCACTCGGCCCACCTAAGCCTCACCTCCCTGGCCTGTAAAATGGGGTGAAAGTGGGAAGCTAGCAGCCCCTGCTTCAAAGCTCTTGCCTCCAAGGGAAACTGAGCTTCTAGAAATCTGGCTCCTCGATGGCCTTGGTGACTTCCTATTGCATCCCTATACCCTCTCCTTCCGCCCGGACGTCCCACACACATACCAGCCAGCAGCAGGGATTGTCTGTTTTACCTCAAAACACATCCTGAATCTTGAATTCTACCACCTTTTGCAATCTCCACTTCCCTGGTCCAGCTACCATCATCTCTTATCCTTCCTGCCATGGCCTCCTCCCTGGACTTCCAATTCTTCCCTTGGCCTCCCATCCATCCTCCACACAGCAGCCAAAGGGACAGTTTTGGAAGGGCCCTCAGGACCATGCCAATCCCCTGCTTAAAACACTCCAGGCTGGGCACAGTGACTAACACCTATAATCCTAGCACTTTGGGAGGACAAGGCCAGAGGATCACTTGGGCGTGGGAGTTCCAGACCAGCCTGGGCAACATGTCAAGATCCTGTCTCTACAAAAAGTAGCCAAATGTGGTGGTGCACACCTGTAGTCCCAGCTACTCGGGAGGCTAAGGCAGGGATTGCTTGAGCCCAGGAGGTTAAGGCTGCAGTGAGTCAAGACTGTGCCACTGGACTCCAACGTGGACGACAGGGCGGGACCTTGTCTCAAAACAGCAGCAACAATAAACAAAAACACACCAGTTACTCCATCACAGAAGAAAATCCAAACTCCTTTCACTGGCACTCCAGCCCTGTGTGATATGGCCTGAGCCTTCCCATCACCTTACTGCTGCCGCGCTGGCCTTGCTGTCCTTCCAACAGATAAGATTCCTGTCTTTGCACTGGCTACATCTTTCATCTGCAATGCTGTCACCTGCAGCTTTGATTTTGTCATTCTCCTTTTGAACTCAGTGTCAGTTCCTCACAGAGGCCCTCCCTAACCACCCTGCCCAAGAGAGCCCCAGTCACTCTTGATCACTGTTAAAGGGATATTTTTTTTTTTTTTGAGACAGTCTCGCTCTGTCTCCCAGCCTGAAGTGCAGTAGTATGATCTCAGCTCACTGCAACTTCTGCCTTCCAGGTTCAAGCAATTCCCCTTTCTCAGCCTCCTGAGTAGCTGGGACTACAGGCATATGCCATCATGCCTGGCTAATTTTTGTATTTATAGTAGACATGGGGTTTCACCATGCTGGCCAGGCTGGTCTCAAACTTCTGACCTTGTGATATGCCCACCTCAGCCTCCCAAAGTGCTGGGATCATAGGCATGAGCCACCTTGCCAGGCCAAAAGGATAATTTTTAAGATAAAATCATAATTCTCATATAAAATGAACACATGTCAAAGGTTTTATTTTAGTCATTAATTAATAGAGGGACCTGTACAATGTTATAACCAATTCAAAAGAGAATTCAAAGACACACATATATTGGCAATCAGGAGTGCTGAAATGAATTTATAAGTAAATTGCAAAATTGGTCAATATCCACAGGGCAATGATCAATTGCATTCCACCCTATCAAAATTCACCTGTATTTCTGTGGACAAGAATTATTTGGACATAAGAATAATGAAAGGTGCAAGCCCTTAAAGGATTAGATAGCTGGATGGGTGATCCCGGCGGAACATCCAGTTATCTTTATTGCCTGTTTCAAAGTCTCTCGAGTTTCCTGATGCGTTCTCTACCCAGCACTTACCAACACCTGAATGTGTTTGTTCATTTGGTTCTTATCCTTCTTACTTCGATGCATGTATGAATGTATCTTGAGAGTAAAATTCTGTTTTGTTCACAGCATACAGAAGAATGGCACATAGCAAGTGCTTAATAAATGTTTGTTGACTTTCTTTCCAGCTTCCAGGGCAATTTGTATTTTAGAAGAGGACACAAGGCTAGGCATGGTGGTTCACACCTGTAATCCCAGGACTTTGGGAGACTGAGGTGGGCAGATCACAATGTCAAGAGATCGAGACCAACCTAGGCAACATGGTGAAACCCCGTCACTACTAAAAATACAAAAATTAGCTGGGCCTGGTAGTGTGTGCCTGTAATTCCAGCTACTCAGGAGGCTGAAGCAGGAGAATTGCTTGAGCCCAGGAGGCAGAGGTTGCAGTGAGCGGAGATCACACCACTGCAGGTGACAGAGCGAGATTCTGTCTCAAAAAAAAAAGGGGGGGGTTTAAGTGCTAAACCTAAAGGAAAGAATTCTGTCAGTCAATGAGAAGAGGACATCTGGGACAGGGAAAGAAGAGGGTTTCATCATCTTTCAAATAACCAGGACCTCTGCCCACCCCAAGGGGCTCCATCCCAAGCTCCAAGCATTTAAAGGGAATCTGACCCAAGGGTGGTAAGGGCTGCTGTTCTCCTGCTGAGGCCACTCCGTGATACCATCTCAGACAAGTCCAACGACACTAAGGGGTTAATGTGACCCCACTGTTCACACCTTCTGGGCCTGATCCCTGGACTCCAGAGTGGGTTCACAGATGTCGGAGAGTCTCGGACCCTCTCTTTCAGTGCCTGTGTACAGAGAGGGGCAGCAGCTTTCATTGTAGAATCATGAGTTATTAAGGAGGGAATTCAATAATTAATGTGTAATTGTTACACACCAGGTCAGTGGCCCAGGCCCCTAAGATCCTAGAAATCCCTTGGAGAAGGGCACCCTCTCAGTACCGAGGTCTTCTGGTCCCTGGAAACAGCCTGCGGGCAGCGTGCCTAAGCCTAGAGGGGGCGAAAGGGAAGAGAGGAAGATGCCGCGGGGGCCAGGAAAAGAGAGATGAGTCACGAAACGAGGGGATGCAGGAAGGAGGAAGCCAGAGAAGAACTGAATCCTCGGGATCTTCCCTGCGCACCTACTGTGTGCCGGGCACGGTTCGGGCACTGGGACATAGGAATAGTGCGTGCCGCCGCAGGGCTCATTCTACCCCGGAGCCTGGGTAAATGAGTTAAACACACATACAAATGTGAAGCTGCAGTTGGGGCGAGAGGAAGGAGAGCGCGGTTAAGAGTGTCAGGCGGCCTTGCAATAACCGGGCTTTACCTAGATTGGGCGCCAGCTCACGGAGATGTCTACAGATCAGTGCAGGTATGCGGACTTGATTGCATCGTGCACAAGGGAAATGTAAGGTTGCTTGCAGATTTCAGGAATCAAAGCTGACATGAATAGTACATATATGCATGCAGAATGAATACATGCTGGAGGCTCAAATGCACGTGTGTTAAAGTGACAGACCGCGGTCTCGGCCTTCTCTAGTAGGCCTTGCGCACCCTCTGGCGTCGCCTAGGTGCATCGCGCTGATCCTCCTCGTTCCATCTTGCCACGCCCCATTGAAGCAAGCGAGTGTAATTCGCTCCAGTCAAAGCCATTCGAGAATAAGGCCTGAGTCTTTGCGGCTTGCTACGCATGCGCACACTACAGAACTTGTGTAGAGGCTTGTAGGAAAGCTTTCTTCAAGCAGTCAGGATGGCCGAGCGGTCTAAGGCGCTGCGTTCAGGTCGCAGTCTCCCCTGGAGGCGTGGGTTCGAATCCCACTTCTGACAATGCTGTAATTCTTTTCCATATCACAATCGCAGACCGGTTAAAACGGAACCTTGTTTTTTTTAATTTTTACAAAACGAGCATTTTCTTATTAGCAGACATTTTCTTTTTTAAAAAAAGAATCTCGCTCTGTCGCCCAGGCTAGAATGCAGTGGCGCCATCATAGCTCATTGCAGCCTTTGAATTCCTGCGATCCACCCGCCTCAGCCTCCCCTAGAGTTGATAGTTCAAGCTCGCACGACCACATCCTGTCATTTTCTTCCCGATATTCATTTGACTTCGGACTGTAAAACGTACGTCCCCTGTGTCGCAGGGTCTCTCCCCGTGTGTGGTCGTCGAAGATCTAAATTTTCTTTTGTGCTTTTTAAGAGAAAATAGTGGAAAAGATCACTTGTCAGAAGTGGGATTCGAACCCACGCCTCCAGGGGAGACTGCGACCTGAACGCAGCGCCTTAGACCGCTCGGCCATCCTGACTTCCTGCCCTTGTCTTTCGTTCATCTCACTCTGCAAAGCCGCTCGAGACTCAGAGCCCAACGACTGCGTCCGGGCAGCCCCGCGTCCCGCCGGCAGCCTAGGTCATTCACAACCAAACCCAGCCGGTGCGACTCACCCCTACTCTCAAACTGGCGCTTTCTACTGAAGACACAGATAATTTAAATGAAAAATCGGTTTCCCATACCTTCAACAGAAACACAATCAAAACGAAATAACGTTGCTAAATTCTAGCCCTGCCCAGGCTCTGAGCCGCAAGTGGTGGTATTATGAACTATTCCTAACACCGGTCAGATGTTTCAGGCTGTGAATGGGGTATTAGCAGAGTAGGGGGCGGGGTTTGGAGAATGACTCCTGGAAGGAGGATGCTCTGTAAGGTTTTTGTCATCTGCTCCTCAGGACGGGAGATCTTGGGTTGGGAGATCCCACTCTGCAAATAATTAGCTAGGGTCTCATCCAGAAAGAGTTGGCTTTTAGACCTTTCTAATAAGCTGATCAAGGAGAAAAGTTGGAGGTTGTTAAGCTTGGGGAAGAGAATTATCTGTCTACAAAAGCCTGATGTGTACGAGGGGTTGGGATCATGTCCACCTATCCTTTATGCTCCAAGAACTAGGGCCTGAGGTGGAGGTGCAGTGGGTGGATAGCTAGAGGAAGGCTTTGGGAGAAGACAGACTTTGCTAGAAAGGAAACAAGGTGACATCCCCGTCGCTGGAGGCATTCAAGAAAAGGATGGATGGTCACTTGGGGGAAATGTTGCCAAGGAGTTCAAGAGTTCCTATTGCTGCCCTAACACACTGCTACCAATTTAGTGGCTTAAACCCATCCCGCTTATTTATTACAGTTCTGGAGGTCAGTAGTCTAAAATGGGTCGCAGGGTTACATTCCCTTCTGGCCATTTCCTTTCCTCTTCCAGCTGCCGGAGACCACCCACATTCTTTGGCTCCTCCGTCCACATGACTCCAGCATTTGCTCTGTCCCTACATCACCTTCTCTGACTCTGACCCTCCTGCCTAACCTCTTATAGCAACCCTTGTGATTATATTGGGCCTGATAACCCAGGGTCATCCCCCATCTCCAAATCCTTTATTATTATTATTGAGATGGAGTCTCACTCTGTCGCCCAGGCTGGAGTGCAGTGGCACAAACTTGGCTGGCCACAACCTCAGTCTCCCAGGTTCAAGCAATTCTCCTGCCTCAGCCTCTCAAGTAGCTGGGACTACAGGCATGTGCCACCACGCCTGGATAATTTTGTATTTTTAGTAGAGACGGGGTTTTGCCATCTTGAACAGGCTGGTCTTGAACTTGTGATCTCAGGTGATCCAACCTCCCCGGCCTCCCCAGGTGCGGGGATTACAGGCTGAGCCACTGCTCCCCACCCAAATTCTTAATTTAACCACGCTGGCAAACTCTTTTAGCTATTTAAAGTTAACAGAGCCACAGGTTCCAGGGATCAGGACATGGTGAAGAGACTCATTATTCTACCAGTGCCCTAAATCACAATTTGATTTGAAATCTTCCATCCAGGGGTAAGTTTCTATAATATCTTTGGTCTGAGATCAGTTTTCCCCACCACTTCGCTTCAATCTCCCCAAAACTGCTCTGAGTTCATTTCTTCCGTCATCACAAACCTGGCTTGTGGATTCCAGGGGACCCTGCTAAACCTTGAACAGAGTTGAGAAGAAGTACTGCGTTTGAATTCCTGCTGTGTGACCTTGGATAGATCACTTCGTCTCTCTGAGCCATATAGGAAGGAGAAGAGGAGTTAGAGCAGGGGTCCCTAACCCCTATACCGCCATGACCTCTTAGGAACTGGCAACATAGCAGGAGGTGAGCCACAGGCAAGCTAGGGAAGCTTCACTCCCCAGCACTTGCTCTATAGCCTATGCTCCGCCTCCTGTCAGGTCAGGGGCAGCACTAGACTCTCTTAGGAGCTTGAACCCTATTGTGAACTGCACGTGCGAAGGATCTAGGTTGTGCACTCTTTATGAGAATCTAATGTCTGATGATGTCACTGTCTCTGATCACCTCCAGATAGGACCATCAAGTTGCAGGAAAACAAACTTAGGGCCCCCACTGATTCTACATTATGGTGAGTTGTGTAATTATTTCATTATATATTATAATGTTAAAATAGAAATAAAGTGCACAATGAATGTAATGTGCTTGAATCAACTCAAAACCACCCCCAGCCCACTCCTATCTCCCCTGGAAAAATGGTCTTCCACGGAGCCAGTCCCAGGCCCTGGTGCCAAAAACGCTGGGGATCACTGAGTTAGGGGGACTGTAATGCTATTCATCAGTTTCTTTGGGTGTAAATGACAGAAACCCAGCTGAGTGCTGTGGCTTATGCCTGTAATCCCAGCACTTTGGGAGGCTAAGGTGGGCAGATCACAATGCCAGGATTTTGAGACCATCCTGGCCAATATAGTGAAACCCCGACTCTACTAAAAATACAAAAATTAGCCGGGTGTGGTGGTGGGTGTCTGTAGGCCCCAGCTACTCAGTAGGCTGAGGCAGGAGAACTGCTTGAACCCGGGATGGAGAGGTTGCAGTGAACACCACTGCACTCCAGCCTGGGCAACAGAGCAAGACTGTCTCAAAAAAAAAAAAAAGACAGAAACCCAGTTTGTCCCCTCATTTTGGCAAAAAAAAGGGACATTTGTTGGCTCATGAGACAAAGGGTGGGCAAGCTGCTGAATCTCAGAGGCCCCAGGAAGTGAGGGATCAGAGCTTCTCCTACCTATGCCCCTCTCTGCTTCTCTGGAGGCAGCTCTGGTCAGGACCTTGTCTGTTCAACACCAAGACAGCCACCCTCACACTCCAGATCTTTCCACCACCTGGAAGCCTTCCCTGCTCACCCCTACAAATCGAGTTGTCTGGCACAGTCTCTCCCAGCTCCCTGGGTCTCCATCCAAGTCCATCTGTAATGAATACATTCTCTGAGTCATCCTTTGTTTAATGGCTATCCCTAACACCCCTCCCAACACCAAACCATGGTCACTCTGGCTTGGTGATTAAACGGAACCCTTGGGCTGGGGCCTGGCACATAATAAGGTTTGGTCTATGTTTGCTGCGTAATTAAAGAGATAAATAACACAATCCTAATTTACCGAAAAAAAAAAAGGCGGGGATGATTATACCTACCGAGAGCCAGCTCGGTCATAGAGACCCCCACCCAGGCAGCGCTGAAGGAACTGAGAGGCAGACACCCAGATAGAACAGCTAAGTGGGTCTATCCGGGGGGCCAGCAGCCTTCTGAGCTGAGAGCCTCAGGGGCTGGCAGCATTCCAGGCTGAAGGCCCCGAGTAGACGCCAACCCATGCATTTAGTCTCTCTGAACAGCTGATCATTATTAACAAACAGATGTTCGGTATTTTCTCATAACACAAAATATGCCAAGTAGGCAGCTGGTGCCTGCTTACCACTGATCACAAACAAACTAAAAAGTATTCTCCACGAGGGAGACACAGGGGCAGGGGCAGAGATAGTAAAGAATTGTTTTAACCTGTATGATATTTACACATTGTCTTGCTGCTTTGGAATGCCCCAAGTAGTTTTTTACTTGGGGGTGGGGGTGACTAAGATTTCCTTGCCATTGTTCTTCCTAGCAGACAATATATTCTATCATAATACACTCAGCATTCAACAATATTCATAAACTTAACATTTCTCAATATCTATATTCATAAACTTAAGATTTCTTAACACATATCATGGGGAAATCTCAAGACATAGAGTTAAGAGAAAAAAACTAGGTAGAAACCAGAACTGGGCTGGGCATGGCAGCTCATACCTGTAATCCCAGCACTATGGGAGTCTGGGGCAGGTGGATCACTTGAGGTCAGGAGTTCAAGACCAATCTGGCCAACATGGTGAAACCCCATATCTACTAAAAATACGAAAATCAGCCAGGTATGGTGGCATGCGCCTGTAGTCCCAGCTACTTAGGAGGTTGGGGCAGTAGAATCGCTTGAACCTGGTTCTAGCCCAGATTGTGCCACTGCACTCCAGCCTGGGCAACAGCATGAGACTCTGTCTCAAAAAATAAAAAAATAAATAGATACAATTTTACCAGGCGATTAAGGTCAACATCAACAGTGATAGGTTCCATTGATAGTAGGTATTCCTGAATGACTCTTTACCTCTGTAGTCTTCCTCCCCAAAACACACTACTCTAAAGCTAACCATTAGAAAATAATATCAGACAAATCTTCATTGAGGAACATTCTACAAAACCCCTAACCAGGGCCAGGCGGTGGCTCACGCCTGTAATCTCAGTATTTTGGGAGGCTCAGGCGGATGGATGACCTGAGGTTGGGAATTTGAGACCACTGTGGTCAACATGGTGAAACCCTGTCCCTACTAAAAATTCAAAAATTAGCTGGGCATGGCGGTGCATGCCTGTAATTCCAGCAACTCGGGAGGCTGAGGCAGGAGAATTGCTTTAACCCGGGACACAGAGGTCGCAGTGCACCGAGGTTGCACCACTGCACTCCAGTGAGACTGTCTTAAACAAAACAAACAAACAAACAAAAACCCTGACCAGTACTCCTCAAAATGATCAAGGTCATCCAAAACAAGGAATGTCTGAGAAGCTGTTACAGCCAAGCGAAGTCTACAGACACAGGATGACTAAATGTACTACTGTGGTATCCCGGATGGGATTCTGGAAACAAAAATCACATTAGGGGAAAACTGAGGAACTGTGAATACGTATTTAATAAAAATGTCACAATATTGGCTCATTAGTTTAGACACAAATGTAGCCTGAGCAACATAGTGAGACCTGACTTTTTTTTTTTTTTTTGAGTCGGAGTTTTCGCTGTTGTTACTCAGACTGGAGTGCAATGGCACGATCTCGGCTCAC